GATCAAATTGGCCTGTGGGGCATTCTCTTGATTAATGATTGTGGTAGGCACGTCCAGGCCACTATTCCTTGGGAAGGTCCTGGGCTGTAATAAGAAGGCTCCTGCAAGCAGGCCAGCAAGCTGTGTCCCTCCAGGGTTTCTGCTTTAAGTTCCTGCTTGAATTCTGTCCTAACTTCCCTCAGCAATGCTGGAAACGGAAGCTAAAATAAGTCGTTTCCTTCCCTAAGTTGCTTTGGGCACTGTTTTAATCACAGCAACACAAGAGGAAGCCAGGAAAGCAGCCTAACACTCGCCACAGATCACCACCAAAGGAGCAGAGTGACACATTATAGCAAGGAAGGAAGAGGGCAGCTATGAGTCGATGGATTCAGACTAAGGTCACTGAATCACACATCAGCGATGTGAAGGCCAAATCTGAGCCCAAGACTGTTTTGTTTGACAGGTTTTTTTGGCAAATTTGAATGTATTGCCAATGCTAACATACTAGAAGATTACCCTTAAAAATCTGAATTCCAGAGTTCTCCCCAAAAGAAAATAGAAATCCTGCCAACATTGGTCCCTCATTTGTTTTTATGTACTCATTAGTTGAACCTGAGTAACTCTGGCCTTTGTTGGATGAACACCTCTCCAGTTTCTTCTACTCTCTAATAAGCCTTGGAGTCTGGATGAGGGCTAACCATACTTAGTATCTCACCTTGCTTGCCTGATGTCTCTGGCACAGGCCCTGCCTTCTTCGTTCGCTTGGTGCCTGTCTCGTTGACCATTGACTTCACTCACCAAGCCAAGGAGTAGCCACCCACTCTAAGTCCTGTCCAGCCACAGAGAAGATATCAAACAGATGTGTCAACTATCTGGAGTCGAAAGGTATAAAAGAATCAAGCCTATACAAACACACAGTTACCACACCCAGCTCTTCTATAGACACAGGTTGGCAGCACCACCTCTTTGTGTCCTGCCCTTACCATGAGCTTTATGATGCCAGGATCTTGCTACAGCTGTTCCTTACAACCAGCCGAAAGCTTGGCCCAGGAGTGTTCTGGTGAAGAGACCCATGACAACGGCAACGCTAAAGTCACTGACGTGTCCTTCTGCTTCGTAGATTTCTACAACTTACATGTTGATTACTCAGAATCCAGTCTGGTCTCTGAAGACTCTATTCACTAGAACCAACTTGTGTACCAGAACAAAGCCTCTTCCTTTTCACCAGTCCACCGAGAGTCTGTCACGGTGATGAGGAAAGGGAAGCCACACAGGCCTCAAAGCAGATGCTTGCTTTCTCCTTGATATATAGTACTTTTGAAAGCTCAGTTGTGCGCTAGGTACTTAAGCTATCCTCTGTCTGCTGTATGTTTGGAATAACTGAATGAATCTGAAGCATATCTACTGTTCTGTAGTATTTCCCCCCACCGTAACAGCACAGGTGACCTACGAGAGAGAAACTGGGAGATTCTTGGGACTATTGAGAGCTATGGAGATCAACAGTCCCTTTGAGGTTGTCAGGTTTGCTAACATTTTTCCTATTTCACATCTTGCTTCTGCTCAAGCTGAACTTCTTTGAAAGTGCATCGTCTAATAGAGTCTGCTGGCTTGTTTAAGGGAGATTTCCACTGTACAGCTAGGCTGGCCTCCAATATCCACTCCGGCCCCATCATCCTGAATGCCGGTGTGAGAGGTGTCAGTCACCACACCTACTTCCATATGACAGTTCTAAAGTGAACAAAGACACTGAAATATGTCCTGTAACTAACATATAGAATGACATCAATCAGAATGATCGGAGCGAGGATGCCAAGAGAAGACTGCAGGGATCCGGCCCAGCATTTAACAGTATTAATAAAAGTCAACATTTATGAATAATCTAATGATGCAATCAATAGCTCAAAGGGCAGGCTCTGATGGTGGGCAGCTTGTGTTTGAATGCTGGCTTGACTAGTTTCTTTTTAAACATGATTTTTTTTATCTTTAAGTGAGTGAGTGAGTGAGTGTGTGTGTGTGTGTGTACGACTGCTGGTGCCCATGGAGGCCAGAGCCGTCTATCTACCCCTTTGGAACTAGAGTTAGAGGCAGTTGTGAGCAACCTGACATGGGAGCTGAACCTGGGTCCTCTGCAAGAACAGTATGTGCTCTTAACTCCTGAGCCATCTCTCCAGCCCCAAGATGGACTATTTTCTTAGTTGAGTGAACTTATCAAAATTCTTAGTCTAAAAATCAAAGTAATGCAAAAGTCATGAGCTCTCTTGACGGCAGGTTTAACAAGCATTAATGGATGCTAGAATTACGAGCAAGTGAAACAGGATAGAAACTGTTGTTTCCTTACTGGCCCAGGAAGGTAAAGATATATCCAGGCTGAGCATCATAAAGTCATAAAACACAGGTCTAGAGAAAAATCACAACTGGATATCACCACATTAATTAGAGTCAACCACATGAGTTGTTTTTTTATTTTTCCCCAGTAACGTGGATGGGAAGCAAACCCTGAGATTTTAATCATTTGCTTAGGTTAGAGGCAACTCACAGAACCAAACTGAAAGCCAGGAATGTAGGCAAGGACACCCAGATTGTTAGGGCACATCATAAGGGTAGCGTTTAGTCACACTTCAATGTCTTAGCCTCGGATATGGTGTTTAGCGTCATCTTACCTCCCAGCATCATCTTGTGTAGATTCCAGGGCCCAGCTACTCCCAGCGGCTATGTTTGCTCAGAACACAGCCGACTAGGCCCCCGTCTTTGCTAGGCTCTGATTCAGTAGGATGCCTTCCCATCAGGGAGGACCTATTCCCATCCCAGTCTCAATTAAAACCCTGTGCCCACCACAAACTAAACTCTTCCATTCATAGCCCCGGTGAGCCACTCAGTAATACCACACTATTGGAACTGCTGCCTCTACACGCCTCCCTCCATGCCATCTTACAAGATACATACATGGAAGCATGCTGTCTTTCCTACCAGACTCAACGGAGGGTGTACCTTTTTTTTTTTTAAAGTTCGGACTCAATAATAAATTATAGTTTAACCCTTTCATCCACAAAGAATCATTTGGTGTCTATAAGAAAAAAAACTAAACAAATACTAGCTGCCAGTTGGCTTTTCTTCCTTGACAATTTTTAATTACAACTGAATGATGCTTATTACTAGATCACTCTTGTCCAGAGAGCTGGAATTCCTCAAATGAGACATTGATTCCTGTTGCCTTGGTCCCCACAACTTCTCTGCACAGCTGTCGTCTATCAGTAAAAATTAGGGGACATTTTAATGTAGAAAAAGACCACAAAAATGGAGATTCCAAAAGAGGGGATAAATCTGACCTCATGTGTCTAATCATCAGCCTCTTGGCCTAGCCCAGCGGTTCTCAACCCGTGGGGTCGAGACCCTTTAGGGGCATTGAACGGCCCTTACACAGGGGTCGCGTATCAGATATCCTGTTTATCAGATATTTACATTATGATTCACAACAGTACAAAATGATAGTTATGAAGTAGCAACAAAAATTATTTTATGGCCGGGGGTCACCACAAGGAGCTGTATTAAAGGGGCAAAGCAATAGGAAGCTTGAGAACCACCGGTTTAGACAGTGGCCAGGTCTACCCGAAGCCAAGCACCTTCTCTGGCATCCAGACACCAGCCACTGCCCACCATCATAGCTAGTATTGCAGAGCAGAGAAGAAAACGTTAAGAAGCCAGTCAAGAGTACCTCATGTCCATCTTTGCCATTTCTTCACACTCCTTGCCCTTCCCGTCGGCCCTTAGAGATGGGAAGGATGCCTGCCATTACACATCACCTTACCACACCCTTGGTCTTCCCACAGACCCTTCCTTGGAGACAGGAAGGATGCCTGCCTCTCCACTTACCCAAGAAGTCTGCTCTTGGGGCATCGGTGGTGCTGATACAAGTGTTTGCCAGTTTGCAGGTGAAACGATCTTATTGTCTAATTGCTGTTTGCTTTTGAGGGAGGCTATGGGTACCAGCGCCACTTTCGGCGCTCACACGGGGTTTAATGGAGGCTGTAACCAGCATGAACACCTTTCTTTCCTCTGCATCCTCTTTAGCTCAGTCTGTCGCCTGAGGATACCTAAGCAGTCCTGCTCTGGGCTAGGTGAACATGACAATCTAGACAACTCACAACTCAAGACGTTTAAATATTACAACTGACCGGTAGCCCATGAGATGGGTCCAATGAAGTTATTAAGATATTAATATAAATAAAAATATATGAATAATAAATGTCGTGGTAATGCTGCCTAAACTTTCTGAATTGTTTGTGCTGCATACACCTGACATCCCAAGAACGAGTTTTTATCCCGACTTGGTCAAGTTCAGTCAATGGCTTGCCACCCGCTCCAAAGCACCCGTGCACGGTTAAAACCAAAGTAGATTAGCTAGGCGAACCAAGCTGAGGCATATGCACCAAAATCCTCCCAAGTTTTGCTCCTCTGAACTTCCAGGTGGTGGAGGAGCTGCCTGGCAGCTGGGCTCTTGCACTCTGGAGCGCAGCCCGGTGCTGCACTGCCTGGAGCAGGCAAAACCCGTCCGCAGTTAGAGTTAACTAGACGCACCTCTTTACCCCAATCCGGATTCTCCCCCAGCACCTGAGTCCACCTTTCCTGGAGCGGCCTTCTGCGAAGTGAGGACCCACCTGGGTCGCACGACTCTTTCTGATCTGCCACCAGCACAGGCAGAAGGTATCCCCAGAGACTCATAGAGGGGCATTCGCCTACATCCCGGATTTCATCCTCCTTTGGTTGCCCCCTACTCCGTGCAAAATGAAGCCCTCGGATTTCTGGAAGTGTTATGCAAAGGCAAGCACTTTAAAAAAAAAAAGGGGGGGGTGCAGAGTCTGCTGTGGCGTTCTCAGGGCACTCTCAGTCCCTGGCAGACAGCCGGACCAGAAGCCGGCCACCAGCTGTGCGCCGGCGGGTGACAGCGCCGCCTTCTCTAACTGCAGTTTGCTAAGTGACCGGTTTGCTCTGATCCGGACCTTCCCGGCTTCTGGGGCCTTTACCTGAGTCCCGTGCTCGGCTGGGGCCGCGGACTCAGCTCGGGACGCGGCTGCTGATCCTCGCCTGCTGATCCTCGCCGTGTACCGGGCGACCGATCCCGCTGTGCGCAGTCCACCGCCACCGCCCTCTGCCCCGGGGACACATGGAGTGCAGCCCTCCCCGCCAACTCCACCTTCCCGCCCCCACCCCGGGAAGTCACTCCCGGGGTGGTCCCACTCGCCGATTGCCTTTGCAGAGGCACCCGGGCCAGTCTGAACCGGTTGAGACTGCACGCCCGCTGGGGGAAGGAAGAGGAGGTGGAGGAGGAGATGGAGGCGGAAAAGCTGGCTGTAGGGGCGCTGCGCCTACTCCGGCGGCTTCAGGTCCCGCTAGGAGGAGGGAGGGCCGGATCCGAGTCCCCTTGGCCCCCACAAGCTCCCCATGTGGCCCCAACAAGCACCATGTGCATTTGCGAGGAGCCCGGGTCTGAGCATGGACTCAAGGGTCGCTTGGTCTCCCTGGCTTCCCGGGACCACTAGAGAGCCTCCTGGCCGGAGCTATACCCGTGGGCAGCGATCCCAGATGAATGCGCCTTAAAACTTTGTGAAGTACTCTTTGGCAGTGGAGAGTAAAGATGCCAAGGGCTTTCCTTTGTGACAACTCCGCGTTCGGAGGGCGTTTGGCAGGACGAAGAGGGAGGGAGAAGCTGTGTGAGGATAGTCAGGTGTCCTGCAGCTGAACCAGGGTAACCCTAGCTTGTGGTACAAGGGAACTATTAAGCGCTGCACTCCACGCTATCACAGAAGCCCACTGCAGACAATCCCAGAGTTCCAGTGGCTAACGAATGTGCTGTCACCACTCGCTCCAGGGATCTGCCTGCATCGTGGCATGTGCTCGCCCTCTGCCCCGTGCACATTTTGTCTATTGAATTCTTGAAGAGGACAATGTCTAACAGCTTGAGAATTCCCTTTATACCTGGCAAAGCCTGAGTTCTAACTTAGACAAGGATTACCACCTGCCTAGCCTGTTTATTTACTTATCTATAATATCAGAATGAGATTCTCAGAATCTTGCCTGCATCGTGGAGTGTGCCAGAGTTAAGAATTCAGAAAAGGTATGGAACCTGACCACACCCACCACCAGGAGAAGATGGTAGGCTTTAGTCCTTCTCCCCCATACCCCTTTCTATTCAGGTTATGGGAGAGTCCCCTCAAAACTATCATGCTTGAGCCTGAAGACAGCTTGCCATCCCCAGCACCCTGTTATAAATAAGCCTACAAATGAGCTATTGTAACGACAACACAGGAGAGGCAGAGCCTAACCTAATCAGAAAGCCTCAGGTCTCCAGTTAGCACAAACAAACCCACACGCACACACTCTCTGTCTCTCTCTCTCTCTCTCTCTCTCTCTCTCTCTCTCTCTCTCTCTCTCTCTCTCTCTCTCTCTCTCTCTCTCTCTCTCTCTCTCTCTCACTCCCCCCCCCCCGTCTCTCTCTCTCTCTCTCTCTCTCTCTCTCTCTCTCTCTCTCTCTCTCTCTCTCTCTCTCACACACACACACACACACACACCATGCTTACTGCTAAGTGGGAGAGAAACAGGGAAAATATCTCATAGCAACAACATCCCACTGTGGTGATTCACACCCATACCGAATTTAAAAGGCAGATCTCCAGGAGTTTCCCCTGGGTTACATAGTGAGCTCTAGGTCATCCTGGGCTATGAAGACCCTGTCTAAAAATAAACACTACTGATTAAAAACAACAACAAAATAGTGATAATGGGAGGGATACAGTACAAAAAAAATGTCTGGGGAAAAAGAATGGAGACTATGCGGTCAACATCATAAAGACTTGTGAAAAAGAGAGAGGCTCAGTGTCTGCTCCCTACTGTGGTCTCATTTGGGATGGCTTGTGTTTACTCACTGTATTTACAGTTGACTGATAACCTAGGAAACTTTCCCCTCCAAGCTTCAATAGAAGGTGTTTTAGAACGCTTCCCTTGATTTGCACAGACCCTAACCATCGGAGTACAGATCTATGATCTCAACTGTCAATCAGTCACCATCTGTGAAGCGGCATTTGGGAAACCCTGCTAGGAAGAAGGACATTTACATCGTCAGGCATGTGAATAGCTGAGGCCCAGCCTGTCCCCTCCTGCACCGAATGCTTTGTATAGGAATAAGTAGGTGGGTACCTACTCAGGCCAGTTCATACCTGTCCATGCAGATTGAAAGAGTGTCCTTACACAGAGGTGAGGTTCCTGCTTTGGACGGAAGCTGGACCCTGGGGGCTAGACTTGAGCAATTGCAAGGCCTGACTTGTTCAAAGGATGAGGTGGCAGGAAGGCAGCTTTAGTGTTTGGAGCCCAGCTCTGGGAGTAAAGGGCATGCCACTAGGATGCACTGTGAAAGTTGTCCCTGTCCCTTGAGGCTCTCTGTTCAGTCACACTGTGGTAAGACAAGCAAGAGAACCCAGTGATCCAGGCCATCCCTGCCTTGTGTCTACAAATAGAACTTGACCCAGAGAAGCCCAAGGAGTCCCTCCCCCACCACACTGGAAGCACAGAGAGACTGGTGGAAAGAAAACTAAAACTATCTCTTCATACCTCTGTGTTTTCCCTCCCAGGAAGAGCCGGGGCCTGCAGACAAAGCTGGGGCTCTTGACCTAAAGCCAATGCAACTTTAAACAGTCAGAGGGGAAAAAAAAAGGCAGGCCAGTAAAGAAGCTGGATTTAAAAGAACCTGACGTGGCAGGAAAAGGGTTTTAAGGGCATTCTAGTATACAGGTAATGTCCCAAACTGAAGGGTTTGCTCTATGCCTACTGTTACTGTCACTGTCGAACATTTAGGAAGGACTTAGTGAATTTTCTCAGGTATCCCACTTTTGGGCTACATGCTATATCAGTCACTAAGAGACTGGGATGGGGACGTTAACCTGACATTGCTCTTTCGGGGTTCTCCTCTCAGTGAAGAAGCAGAGACCAAGTGGACACGAAAGTGTCTGTGGGTTGGGAGGATACATCAGGCCAGCACCCTGGACCACCACTCAGGTCTCCTTCCTTACTTAGGAAGAGAGTCCAGATTTCTTTGACATGTTTCTCCCCTGTTTGTTAATGGCAGCGTAGCTGCAAAGACCCTGCACTTTGGAACAGGAATAACCAAAGAAAACACAATTTGGGGTTTTGTTCAGTTTCTTAAAAGTTCTCTAAGCCATTAAGTGAATTCTATTTCATTTCTCATATTCCAATAAACAACAGAAAATAATAAAAGATGGGTAAGTCATTCACTCTTATGCACATGCAGAATTTATTTAAAATAAGAGCTTTTTAGATTTATTTTTATTTGATGTGTATGGGTATTTTGCCTGCATGTACTTCTGTGTACTACAAGCATACCTGGTGCCTGAGGAAGCCAGAAGAGGGCATAGGATCCCCAGGCACTGGAGTTACTGATGGTTGTAAGCTGCCATGTTGGTGCTGGGAATTGAACCCAGTTCCCATGGAAGAGTAGCCAGAGCTCTGAACTGCTGAGCCATCCCTCCAGTCCCAAAAATGATTTTTTTTTTTGGTTATTCGAGACAGGGTTTCTCTGTGGCTTTGGAGGCTGTCCTGGAACTCGCTCTTGTAAACCAGGCTGGTCTCGAACTCACAACGATCATCCTGCCTCTGCCTCCCGTGTGCTGTTATTAAAGGCATGCACCACCACCGTCTGGCCCCCTAAAATGATTTTTGATGGTACAAGCAACTTTGAAAATACATTGCATCATATTTTATTAATTTCTCCAGATTTATATATCATCTTTTTCTGCCTTGATCTGTACAAATGGTTTTGAAGCTTAAGGCATGAGGGGGGAGAAATAAAATTGAAAGGCAATTGATTGCCAAGAAGTCTGATTTAACCTCAGAATTACCTCCTATGGTTAAGCATTGTTATCTCACCTTATGGATGAGGAAATGGGGGCTCAGAGAGGGTGTGGTTGCTTGACTCTCCTGTGGGTCTGTGATGGAGCAAATCGTATTCCTTCCACTGTCTCAGAAAAAAAAAATGACAGGAGACTGACACAGACCCTGGTTTTAAACACCGAGGACCCCAGTTCATTTCAACCAACTCATCTGAGAACAGCGCTATTTAGACAACTCTTCTGCAGCTTCCCAAGAAACTTAAGTATGTTTTGTTGATAATGAAAACGAGCTTAAAAGATGCTAAATCATTGTCCCTGGTCACAGTAAGTGGAAGTTGAGCTGGGGTCTCCATATGGGTGGCCTGGTTACAGAGAATGAAACTGAACTTCCACTCGTCATTATCATGAAAGTTAGAGTCAGGGACAATGTTGTACATTGTTCATGCGTACACGAACGGGCATTGTCTGTCTCAGAACCCTTGGGCTTACCAAGAATGATTTCAAAACCAACTGAAACAGCCCACTCCCCAGTGGCTCTAGTCCAAAGCACAGTGTATTTCCACATTAGGGACCCACAGTGCACACGCTTACTCCCTATGCATTTTGTTTTTGTATTTTTTGAGACAGGGTTTCTCTGTATTGTTTTGGAGCCTGTCCTGGAACTCACTCTGATGACCAGGCTGGTCTCGAATTCACAGAGATCCGCCTGCCTCTGCTTCCTGAGTGCTGGGATTAAAGGCGTGCGCCACCAACGCCTGGCCACTTACTCCCTATGTAAATGTGCTTACCATCTCTCCACTCAGCACAATGACATGCTTCTCACAGCAAGCATGAAGTAGCCTGTTCATCACTGACCCCAACTGCCCAGTGGCTGGAACAGAGCAGAAATGTGCTTAGAGATCATTAGCTGAAGGGACAAATGGAGAAATGACTGTGTGAGGAAGTAAATGAATGAATGGCCAAACTTAGTAACTGTCTTGTTGCAACGGGGGCTGGACATTCCTTGGTGACTGTGCTCTGCCGTGTTCTATTCTAAACATTTAATCCTCTAAAGCAAATTCTGTTAACTTTTATTCATTTTATACAAAAAGGGAGCTATTAAAGCTTGGATCTGGAATGACCCCAACAGGCCCGTGTTTTGTGTTATTGTTTACAAGGCCTTGGGACTTTTAGGAACTAGAGCCTTGTTAGCAGAGGGGAATCACAAAGATGCTGTGAAACAACCATTGTACACTGTAAATATTATTACTGTCTCTAGTTGCTAAAGAGCTGGCAGAAAGACACTGGTTGGGAGAGCAGCAGTAGGAGAATTTTGGAAAGAGGATGATGGAGTGTAAGGAGTCACGACAGAGACACACACAGAGGAAGCAAGAGATAAACACGCCATACTGAAAGAAGGTACCGCCATGTGGCAGAAGGTAGATGAGAAATGTGAGCTAGTTCAAGCTGTAAGAGCTAGTCAGTAACCAGCATGAGCTGTGGGCTGAGCATTTGTAATTAATAATAAGTCTCTGTGTGGTTATGCGGGGAGTGGCTGGTGGATCAGAGCTGAC